TTGGTATCTCCGATCATGGTGTTCAAAGTCAACACTCATGGGGCTCGTCGACTACGATGGCTTTGCAGTTTGTGGAGGGGTGATTCAAGACCATGATGAACGTTGGATGCAAGGACTTTCTAAAATGATTGGGAATTATTTAGATGTAACACCCCAAATCTTGGGCTAGTAGTTTCATGTTTGCTCGAGAGGTATGTTAACCTTGTGAAAATTCTAATTCAAGTCGTTAGGTTTAGTTGGGCTTAATTGGGTTGGATTTTAGGCCCAATTAACCATAAAAATGGGATTTTAAATATGAGACAAATTGCGAAGGATCAAATGAGTAATTAAACCATTGATGGAAATTGAAGAAAAAATTTGGGGATCTATATCATTTTGGACGTGGGTTTTGTCCCACTTTTCTTTATTTTCTTCATTTCTCTTCTTCTTTTTTTCTTCTAGTCTCCATAGCTTCAAGTGGTGGTAAGAACTCATTTCTCTACTTCAATAAGTTTCAAATTCATCCCTCATACTCCTTATAACATTCTTTTGTTAAGAAAATTCTTGCATCTTTGTTGGTTAGTGAAAAAGAGTAAAAAATCATCCAAATCATAGTGGAAGGGTTTGTGGCTAAGCAAAGAGCACTATTTCGGGATTCATATTTATAATCCTTTGGAGTATTAAGATTTTTATAAATTTAGAGATTTTACTAATATTGATTATTTTGTATTTCAGGGATTACTTTAGAATTCTTAAGCAAATCACGTTCTAGGTGTTAATAATGCTTTTTATGACACCTTAAGGCCTTAAACAACTTACTAAAGCTTCAAAACAATATTAGAAACCAAACCAAGTCATTTAGGATGATTTTTGGGTGATTCCCGAGCCTAAATAAACCATTTTCAGGCTCGAGTATCGATACTGTGATGAACAATATCAATACTGGATGAATTGGGGCAAAAATTAGGAATTTGGGCTGGGAGTATCTATACTACCAGGGGGAGCTGCCCTTAGAGTATCGTACTGAGCCCTCTTTTTAGCAACAAAATGCATTTTTGGTACTGATCATAGAGGTATCGATACTTAACCTAGAGTATCAATACTGCAAGTAGAGTATCGATACTACTCACTTTGGACGGTTAATTTTAACCCATTTAAAGTCTTAAGAGCTAAGGACGATCCGTAATAGTAAGTCTTAGTACGTGAGGGACATAAGTGACCTAATATACCTAGAAACACTCGTAGGAATGGGTTACAAAAATTGTAACCATATTAAGCATATTACATCGAATATCTTCAGTCCAGGATCTATACAGATTGTTGAAGACGAGAATTGTTGTAAAGGATATGCTGACAAGTGGTACAACAGATAAGTTAGATTTAGTAATAGCAAAAAGCGTGACTTTGACAGTTTCAGTGAACCCAAAAAGTGTAAGTCGTCCTTTTCAGTTTATGAGGTATTAAAAGGTAGTATGATAAGAACGACTAGAGAATCGTTACTAAAAAATGAACCCATATCAGATATCGGGTTAGCCAGTAAACGACAAACTCAATAATTGCCATAAAATCACGAAACGCATAGAGACTTCTTTTGAGTCCAATAGACTAAAATTTCCTTTAGTAACGAATGACCAGAAAATAACACCTTAATAAATTAGTTACCTAGTGGGACATTGTCAGTGTGCAAGCCACTTCAGGGGCTAACTGGGGCATGAGGCCCGAACACTCGCGAGGAGTGGGTTAACGATGTCAGTGTTGTGTGTGGCCTTCGGGCCTTAGAGATACATATGTAATTATGTCAGTTTTGTATATCATATATGTTAAAGCTAGGCTTGAAGGCTATGTGAGACAGAGCCAATGCTTCAATGAGTAGGAATTGTACCGATGCTATGTGACACCAGGTTCCCCTCAATGATATACTTGATGGCTACGTGAGGAGTAGGAGATCATTCAGTGTGTTTAGTGGGAATTTCATCGATGTTATGTGATATTGGGTTGCATTCATATAATGTGCATTATGGTCAGGTTTGCATTCAAATAACACACAGGAGTATCAGTGTTGCATTTAGATAATGCGTAGCGTTGCAGTCATTAGGGTTAGAGACCCTTTAGAGGCATAGTCATGGCGAGGCCCTTAGTAGAGGATTAAGGGAAACCTGAGACCCTAATTCATGATAGAGTAATAAATCCTTAAGTAGGCAACACTTGATCTAGATCATGCATGTACCAACTGCTTAGTACCGTCTTCAGCATGCTTGTGTTTATGAATTCTTATGCTTCTCTAGTTGAGCGATTATTGTTGGGCTTTGTAAGCTCAGCCTTCGAATGTTTTCTTTAGTAGGTTAGTAGCTTGAGCAGTTGGTGGAGCACCGTCACAGCAAGACTTCCAGTATTTTCGACAAAGTATTGTATTGCAACTTTAGTGGGCATATGTATTCAGAGAACCTTACTCATGTATTCAGTTTATTAAACTTAGAGTTTTGTATTATTTTGGTTTTAAATTATGTGTCACGGAGTTCTGATTTTGTAAATTGTTTTTATAGCAATTATTTATGTCTTGTATATGATACCATTCAGTGTGTTTGAAAGGAAAATGAACACGTTTTGAAAATTAGGGGTTGTCACGGTAGCCCAGTGTGGCATTTTAGGCCCAATTGGGTTTAGGGTGTTACATCGACATTTGATGCGGAGTTTTGGGGAATTTTTGAAGGCCTAAAACTTGCTTGGAGTATGAATTTACATTCAGTTTGTGTGGAATCGGATAGCAAACAAGCTATTGATTCCATTGTTAACATTACGGATAGCCCGGGTTTCCCCTTGTTGATTAATCATATCTGATGTTATGTTGGTCGGGATTGGAGTTTGAGTTTTTACATATGCACCATGGGATAGGAATCGCTTGGAATAGTATTGCTCACCTTGCTTGGTCCCGTTCTTGGGGTTTGCACATTGTTTCGAAACCACCGCTGATTGTTGTCTATGTGTTCCAACAGGATGATCGAAGGTTTCCATTGCATGCTACTCCTCATTAGTTTTGCTTAGGCATAGCTTCTTTCTTTCATTAAAAAAAATTCAATTTTTAATTTCATTTCAATTGAAGGTATTTTTTTTCAATTTTTATTTATGCTTTTATTTAAAATATCTATATTTATTATGTGGGTTCATGAATTTGCATCTCTAAAAATAATAACTTAGGGATAGTGATAGATCATTATTGATGTATTTTGTTTCTTTAAAATTTTATGTGAACAAATGAATTTTAAGGATTTATAAAATTTTCTTTAATTAGTATGATATTTTAATAAATAATTGACATTGACATAGGTATTAAAATATTTTTAATATATATATATATATATATATATATATATATATATATATTAAATGGCCCCATTCAGAAGATAATGTTTAGTTCCACCGCTGATCTCTTAGCACCCCTCCATAGGTAGCAAAACTTGTCGTTAGTTGGTGAGTCCATCCCTCGAGGGTGTCTTCCAGGAAACCTCATGATTTACTGGTCTTGCAGAACTGTATACGTGTTAGCTGGGCATAGCCTCCATTTGCAATCTTCGACAATGTTGTAAAATCGAGTCCTCCGCAACGAAATTTGGGTTGAAAATTATGTGGTTTCTTCTCGTCCATACACACCAAATAATGGACCCAAAGAGAAGATCCCACATCACAGTTTGTTGATCGATGGGAAAATGGCTGTGACATGTTTTTTTTCCATCCATTTTCCAATCTCCATGTTACAGAATTCCACTAATTTGTTTGTTTAATCACCATGCTCCAAGTTATTTTCATTATTTCATTTTTTTTGTAACCCTAGCTGTTGCCGACTGCTCTTCTCCTCACAACATTCATCTTTAGCCACCATGTTGTATTGTACGTTGTTTAACCTGGTAACAAAGCATTGCAATGAGTTTTCATGCTACTTCGTTCAATTAATTCAATTTATTTTTATAGTTCATTTCTTTCATAGGATTCTATCAAAAACGTTGATTCAAGCGGAAACGATTTTGTGGATGTTATTATTGTCGATGATCAAATCATGTAAATTTTTCTAAAAAAGTGAATGTTCACTTATCTTGTATCATTGTATGGATTATTAAATGACATGGATTTTTATCACGCTGACAGTGAATGTGTTGTTGATTACTTATATCTATCTGCAATTTGTAAAACACGATAGCTCTCTCGCATTGTGGCTATTATAGCTGATGTAGTGTCGGATATCATGTGGATACGTGCTCTTCTTGGTGACATGGGAGTGGAATGTTCAGAAATTCCAGTTGTTTGGAGTGATAATACCAGTGTTGTTGTAATGAGTGTCAATCCAGTTTTCCATGCTCGCTCCAATCCGCATCCAAAAAGGCACGGATCGTAATCGAACTTGTAGAAGCATGAAAGACCAGTCCGTAATCTAAGGGGGAGTTCTCATGTATGGTAGTCTTAATATAAGGCTAAGGAAAGGCCCTACCGGAAATGTTATTATTTTTTTTAACATTTCCGGTAAAAAGCTACCTAAAACATTATTTTTTTACCAAAAATATTATTTTCGCTAACTAATTTCTGGTAGAACCCAATATTTACATTTACGGTAAAAAAAAATAATGTTTTAGATAGCGCTTTACCGGAAATGTTAAACGTTTTAGGTAGTGTCCAATATTAACATTTTTGATAGAAAATATAATGTTTTATGTAGCGCTTTACCGAAAATGTTAAAAATAATAATAATATTTTTTTGTAACATATTTCCTTAGCCGTATATTAAGGTTGTCGTACTTGAGACATCTATCTAAGGTACCACTCAAATATCGCAAAATACTTTTTACAGCCAACCAATGTAATTGATGCATGTAAGTGTCAACTTTTCTTATCAATTATACTTCGAACGGTACTGTTATTAGAGAGAAAGCTAAAATATAAAGGACATCACTCACATCTCTATACTCTTCTATATTACAGCTATACAACAGCTATACAAAGCTGACATAGGCAATAACAGCCTAACTACCCACTCACATAAATGTAGGACTCCCTACACGTATGCATGTATATGCCAACTGCATGAGATCGTATAAAGCTCTTTCATCAAGCGGACATCCAGCATCATGAGTAAGCTTAGGTGTAGAGACCATTGGAGTAGGAGCTGACCGGGCATCAACCATACCCGCCTTCTCTAATAGTTCCCTAACATATTTGCGTTGTGTTAAGAACAACGCACTTTCACATCGTTCAATCTCAAGACCGAGAAAGAAGTTCAACTCACCAAGATCTATCAAAGAAAATTCTGAACCCAGCTGAACAACATCCTCAGCTAAGTCACTATCGCTACCCGTGACAACAATATCATCAACATATACAAGAACAAACATGCTATGGCCATTATCATGTCAAATAAACATGATGCATCAGCCTATGTCCCAACAAAATCAATGCGAAACAAAAAAGTCTGAAGTTTAGAGTATCAATTCCGAGGAACTTGCTTCAACCCATAAAGAGCCTTTTCCAACATACACACCAACTAAACTTCATCAACAGACTCCTGTTCAAACCTGGGGTTGCTCCATAAACACTTCCTCAACAAGTTCACCATTCAAAAAAGTGTTGTTAACGTCAATTTGTCAAAGTTTCCAATTATTTTGAACAACCAAAGATAACACAACATTCACTGTGGTAGATTTTACAACAGGTCTAAAAGAATCCGGAAAATCTTGTCCTGGAACCTAAGAATAACCCTTGGCAACAAGCCTCGCCTTTTATTGAGCTACCGAGCTATCAAGATTCTTTTTTCACTCGAAACAACCATTTTGCATCCAATTGCAACCCTGTCCAATCGGTGATGCCCAAGACCACCTGATGTTTCACCACGATCATGCCCAAGACCACCTGATATAACACACGGTGCATTAGTGATAAGTGCTTTATTTGGTAATATTTTGCTTTAAATTCCCTCCTAATCATTGGTTTTTGTGGCATATTTGTTCCTTTTGATTTTTTTTTTTTGGAGGAAACTACATTTTGGAAATTGCACTAAAAGAACAGAATTTTGTAGTTTTTTTTTTTCGAATTGAAAGTTGGATTAGTGGCACTTTGGGCATAAAGCATCTGACGTGGCGATTTCGTCAGCACCTTCTAGAAGTTCCAGTCAGCACTTCTAGAAGAATGAATGGATCATCCGCACGTTTCTGCAATTCAGATTTGAATTAAACTCGTGTTTTAGGATATTATTTTAAATATTATTTTATCTTATCTTTGTTTTAGGTGTTTTAGTTTAAATAGTTTTAAGTATTTTAATTAGAATTATTTCTTATTTTAGGAATGATCTTTACCTTGTTTGTAGGATTTTGAAGGCTATAAATACCCTCTCAGGGTAAGCCTAGAAACATATCTCTCATCAACTGAGAATTTACTCTTTTTCTTCTCTCTAGCTTTATAAAATTCTCTCTTTTATTTTCTTTCAAGTTTTCATTTTTTATTTTAAAGTTTTGTTTTTAAATATTCTAAGTATGACTTTTGTCATGCTTATCTAATTTTCTTTTAAGCCGAAGGCTAAAGCGATGGCTCAATTCCAAACGTGAGAATTGTAAGGCACTTAAATCGTTTCGGATATCTCTCTGTTTTCTGGACTTATTTTCAAATCAAAACAATTTTCAAAACCAAAAGTCAAAGTTGGTCTGTGTAGTTATGGTTAACGTGGGAGGAATGATCGGCTTATTGAAGCACATTTGACTTCCTGGGAACACACTTAGAAAAATTGTTTGCTAAGAGGAAACTGAGATCGGAATCAATTATTGTTGGAACAACATAATCCGAGTCGGCAGCTTTTCGAGCCTCAACGTTTTTAGATCTACAACATTGTTGTTGCTTAGATCAATTCAAAAACTGATATGAAGATTGCACTTGGATATTTGGTATACAAAGCATAGTCACAAGGATTTGTCCTTGTAGAAAAGTAACTGGCGTGAATCCTGAAGTAAAGATTTATTTCGATGATCGGAGGAGACTGAGTCAAAGCTGAAAGCCTGAGGCTACTTTTCACAATAAGTCTTCTTTTCAAACTCAAATTACTATTTTATATTTATTATTTTATTTTTATTTTCCTTTATCTTATTTTTTAAACAGTCTTTCAAAATCTCTTTATTTTATCTTATTCTTATCTCATCCTTTTATATTTTTTTATTTTTAATCTTGAATTTCATCTCTATCCAAACTCTACTGTTCAAAAACAAAAAGATAATTAAATCAGAAACTGCATAGTCTCTGTGGAATCAACCCTTACTTTTCACTTGCTATATTCTTTATATTTCTTTTGGGATTAAGGAATTATTTGACGCGAAAATGATGCGTATCAAATTGGCGCTGTTGCCGAAGACTAACAGCAAAAACTGATTTATTTTTCTTTGTTTTTGATTTATGACTTGAAGGAACCCAGGAGAATTAATAGATCTTAACCTAGAGATCGAAGCATGAGCACGAAGAATCCACACACAAACGCTTTGAGAAAATGGAAAAGACAAGAAACATAGTTCAGAAACGAAATCAAATCCGGACACAAACTCTGAAGCAGACACATATAATGAAGATCAAATCCCAATGACAGAAGAAGAACAAATGATCCAAGAGCTAGTCGTAGCTCATGTCACTCAGACGCCATTATGCATCACTTTTCCTAATGGTGGGACTCCATTTCAACTAAATATGGGACTTCATCTTCTTCCCACTTTACACGGAATTCCCAATGAAAATGAGCAGAAACACTTATTGAAATTCCACATGGTTTGCACTGGCATGAAACCAGAGGGAGTTACCGAATATCAAATTAAATTGAGAGCTTTCCCTTTCTCTTTAGCTGTCTTGGCTAAAGATTGGTTGTTTTATTTACCTACAAATTAAGTTAATTCATGGGCTGACATGAGTCAAATTTTCTTGACAGGTTCTTCCCAACAACTGAAGCAAGCGAGTTATGAAGGAACATTCTCTCCATTCGGAAAAAGACCAAATAAAGTCTTTATAACTATTGGGAACGATTTAAAAAGCTTTGTGCAAGTTATCCGTAACACGAATTAAGTGAGAAAATGTTACTTCAATATTTTTATGAAGGTCTTTTTCCTATGGAGATGAAAATGGTAGATGTCGCTAGCGGAGGAGTATTATTTAACATGACCCCAACAATAGCGAGAGAGTTGATTTCAACCATGGCCGCTAACTCTCAACAGTTTTCAAGTGAACCTAGCTGACGGGTTCATGAGATAAATACTTTTTCCCTTGAAAATAAATTAGATAAATAAACTGAAGTAGTTAATTAACTTGTGCAGAAAAATCTGGGGCAGCAAGAGCATATGGAATATGCACGAAGGGACCATCCGATGGACTGTTGCCCGATGATACAAGAAAGAGGCAATACAGAAACCAATGTCGTAGGGAACTTTCCAGGTCCTCCACAAAGACTGTACAACCCATATATCAATACTTATAATATGGGCTGGTGAGACCACCCAAATTTTAGAAACGTTAGCAGTTTCAGAAGAAAATATGATTACATCCCAGGAAAAGTTAGTTGCATCCCAGAAAAAAATTCCAAAGCCGAACCGAAACACAATTTCAAGAGCTGGATAAACAAGTGAGCCGACTAGCTCAAACTGTGGGGAAGCTGGAATCACAAGGAAGACTATCTTCTCAAACGAAGTTAAATCCGAGAGAGAATGTTAGTGCCATCACACTCCAAAGTGGAACAGTCATCACTCAAAGTTCCAAAGAAAAAGCTACACATCAAGAAGAACAATAAGAAACTCCACCTCCAGATATACATGGTACATTTAACGCACATCCTCCTCCTTCTTCTCATGAAATCGCACCACCCTTCCCATCAAGATTGTTAAAGCATGATAAAAGAGATGAAGAAAGGGAGATCTTAGAGGTGTTCTAAAAAGTTCAAGTTAACATACCTCTTCTTGAAGTAATTCGACAAGTACCGAGGTATGCTTGATTTTTAAAGGAGCTTTGCACTACAAAGAGTAAATTAATGGGGCACGAAAAAGGTAAATTTGGGAGAACATGTTTCCTCAAATTTTCAACGAAAGCTCCTACCAAAAAAGGATCAAGGTATGTCGTCATACCTTCTAAAATAGGTAATTTTAAAATTAAACCTGTAATGTGACTTAGGAGCTTCAATTAACGTTATGTCATTTTCTATTTATAAAATGATTACTAACAAGCCTTTGAAGGAAACGGGAGTAACCATACAATTAGATGATCGGTCCGTGATCTATCCAGTGGGAATAATGGAAAATGTCTTAGTGAAGGTCGATGTATTATTTTTTCCTACAGATTTCTATGTCATTGACATGAAACCTGAGAGGTCGGATACTTATTCCAAAGTACTCTTAGGTCGAACCTTCCTAAGCACCGTACATACAAAGATCAATGTTAGAAGTGGTATACTGACAATGGAATTTGATGGTGAGATCGTTGAACTTGATGTTTACAAAGCAATGAAATACCCAGATCGAGTTGAAAGAATTAATTATGTTGATATTTTAGATCCTTTAATTTATGAATATATTGAATCTAATTTTTCTTATAATCTTTCCAGGGATCTTGAACTTTGCCACAAAGAGGAAAAAATGGAGTTTGAAAATATTTATTCAATAAATTTAGATTTATTTTTACCTTCCTCTAAAACTAAAATTTTACCTTCTTTTTTACAGGCACATGAGGTAGAATTAAAGCAGTTACCGAAACACTTGAAGTATGCCTTTTTAGGCAAAAACTGAACCTTACCAATGATCATCTCAAATAAATTATCTGAATAAGAAGAGGAAGCTTTGGTAAAGGTGTTACGTTCCCACAAAGAATGCTTAGGATGAACCATTGTCGACATTAAAGGATTATGTCCCTCGACTTGCATGCACAATATCAAAAATCGAAGAAGGAACAAAGTCATCACGAGAAGGACAATGTCGATTAAATCCACCAATGATAGAAGTAGTAAAAAATAAAATTCAGAAACTTATTGATTCTGACGTAATCTATCTGATATCAGATAGTAACTGGGTATGTCCAATTCATGTGGTTCCCAAGAAAACTGGAGTCACTGTGGTTGAAAATCAAAAAGAGGAGTTAGTGCCAGCAAGAGTTTAAAATGGATGGCGAGTTTGTATTGATTACAGGAAGTTAAACTCTCTTACTCGAAAAGATCATTTTCCTCTTCCCTTTATAGACCAAATGATTGAAATATTAGCTGGGAAAACTCATTATTGTTGCCTTGATGATTTTTCAAGTTTTTTCCAAATCTCAGTAGCGCGATAAGATCAAGAAAAAATGACTTTTACTTGTCCCTTCGGTACATTTACGTATAGATGAATGCCTTTTG